GACGGGGCTTCCCACAGAAAACCAGAGTTAAATGTAGTGAAACGCCATTTTCTGGGTGAGTCCCGGAGCCTCCCTGGCACCCTCCCTTCCTCCCTCCGGTTGACGGTTTTTGTTTCTGTTTGTCAGTTTCTGAACAAGCGGTCCGGCGGCCAGCTTGGTGGTGGGGAAGTCTGCGCAAACGAGTGGCACGTGGTGTGTTGATGAGTTGCTTGTTATCTTGTTTTCCTTGGGGGAAGTTCCTAGCTTCTGTTCAGTCTCATGTTGTCATTTTCTACCATTAGGGGTCTGTTTTGGGGCACCTACCTTTCTGGGTGCCCAACCTGGGTTGATGGCAGACATGAATATTTTCTCAAAGAGTGGACTTTTCATAGGCCATTGTTCCCCTCACCTCACTAAGGGAACCAGGTTCTGGCTTGTTGATCCTGATAGGCATACGGACTCCATATGACTCAAGCCCATGTGTATGGAGTTCTTTGGGCCTACCAGGGACCACGAGCCAGAACCTGGTCCCCCTCAGAGAGGCAAAGGGAGCAATGGCCTATAGAAACCCCCGTGTGGTTGGAAGCATTCTATGTCTGCCATCGACCGGGTCAGGCACCCAGAAGGGTAAGCGTCCCAAAACAAACCCCTATTCTGGTGAAAATTGCAACCAAAAAGCCGAACGAGTGAATAGAACTACCCAAATAAAAACTAGCAAACTAATATGACGTCACCCGTCGCCGCGCCGCCGTCTGCGCAGTTCCCCCCTCCCCAGGAGGGGGAAGGGAGAGCCCCAAACCTCTCGCGCCGGTGATCCACACCCCAGTTCTTTGGCTGATGCTAAAGGCTGAGGTCATGTGCTCTGGCTCCGGTGTTTCAGCACTGTACCTAGCATGTGGTGACTGTCTTCTAGGTGGTGCGTGAGCCCGGAGTGATTCTCCAGTACTTGGGCTGCATGCACTTGGGGTTTCCTTCCCTAGGTGCCCTGTAAGTACTGCCCTTGGGGCTTGGGGTTCCCCTCCACAAGTCCCTTGGGTTCTGCCCCTGCTAGGCCGTTTACTGCTTGGTTTTCGGCCGCCCTTTGTGTGATAGGGTGTTCTGTCTCTCTTGTTCACCTTGGGGTAAGGGGCAGTTTGCACTGATGGGGGCGCAGGGTACTGAGCAGCTTGTTTTCACCAATCATAGCGGCCGGCTCTGTTCTGCCTGGGTATGCTGTCCTCTTGCGGGGTTTGCTTTTTTCTTTTTGTTTCTTTACCTGGTGGGGGATCTGTCTTGGTTCTTTCCCCCTTTGTACTGCGTATTCTTTCTTCTTCCAGTGGTTCCCCCTGCTAGGTCCCCGTGAGTGTACACGTCCTGGGGGCTCAGTTCTTAGAAAGTTGGTTGGTAGATTTGGGCGCCGGTTAGTAGTTACCTGCATAGGGATTACCTGAGTGCAAGTCCTCTTATAGTAAAAGCTCAGGACCCTTGGAATCCCCTAGGGTACAAGCGGGTCCGATGGATGTGACCCCCGGAGTCGCCCCCCCCCCCCTCTAGCTTCAAGCGAGTTTGTGGGTTGCTCTGTCCCTTTGTCTCAGGATGACTCTCACGGTCTTGCCCCCGTCTGCTCCTGTAGAGTCGGTGGCACCTACGGCCCGGAGTCCTGCAAGTTTTGTTGCTTGTTTGTGACTCATGTACCCTGTCTTATGCTGACTATGCGGCTACAGGCAGCACAGGCGTTGCAAGTTGAGTTTCGGTGGTGGCAACGCTCGGTGGTGGTTGCTCCCCAGAAGCCCTGAGGCTGCCCCATTTTGGTTGGGGTGTCGGGGCTTGGGGGTGTTTTGTTGGCGCGGTCTGTGTTTTGTTGGCGCGGTCTGTGTTTTGTTGGCGTGGTCTTGTCCTCTTATGAGTGTTCGGGGCCATCATTTTGGCGCATATTGTCGCCTCATTTCGTGCGGCGCTGGCGGAGCCGCTTCTGCTTGCGTTCGGTGTTGATGTTACTTTTGCGCCGTTCCGCAAGCTGTCTAGTGCGTTGGTTCACCTCTAGCCTGCTCATGCGCCGTCTGAGCCGTCCTGGTAGTTGGACTGGGTGCTCTTTTCTTCTCGGTTTCTTGTGGCCCCCTTCGGTTCCAGTTGTTTCTCGGGGGCTCTTTTCCTGTTGGCATTAGCCTCTAGGGGTCGGGATGGTGATCTTCATGCTCTCCTCCGGCGCTGGGGTTTTTGCTCCTTTGGTCGGGGCGATTGTTTTGTTCTTCTGCAGCCTTCTTCTATTCTGGCGAGGAATGAGACTGCTGCATTCCGGAGGGGTCCCTGGGTTGTTGATGCTTTGTTGGTTAGGCCGGGGGTGCATCATGTTTTGTGCCCAGTTGCGGCTCTCCACTGTTATTGGCGCGCCACGGCTTCTGTGTCCGTGGGCGAGCTTTGGGTTGATCCGGTTTCCCTTCTTCCCTGTTTGCAGGTGCGGGTCTCCCAGGTTGTTCGCAGGGTTATTAACCCTTAAATGGCGCATGGCTATATATCATTTGACACACACAGGCGCATACAAAAAAAAAAATATCTTCCTAACCTGTTAAGTCATGTTCCCTGATCACGGGGAAAAAAAAATTGTACTTACCGGCGATGTAATTGAGCTGAGAAGATGGATGATGACATCACAGTTTGAATGTTCGCTAATGCACGGTGCATCCCGGAGGCATCGCACACGGTCTTCAAGCAGCCAGAGTTGCCACGAATTTATTTTCGCGTCATTATTTACATTGTCTATGTGTGTATTCTCTTCAATATTAGTCACTAATTGTGTTGCACATAATGTTACTACACAGTTATTGTCAATATATGTTGCACACATCGAGTATACACATGCGCACACAAACGTTTTCCATTATGGCATTATATTATGTACAGTAATCACAATGTTCATTATTTTATATGTACACACTAGCACGCACTATGTACAGGTTTTTGCACTATTATTGCACATTTAGAAATCTTGGAGTGAGTGGTAGTCGTTGAAGCAGTCGACAGCACACAAAGCAACTCCTCACCCTTCACACCATGTTTGCATCATTTTATGTTTCTGTTCTCTTCGTTTTGTTGTTTTACAAACTATGCATGCACGTTGGCCTATTGCACGCTTTCCACCTGGTGGCAAATTCTTTAGTCTGTGTTGCTGAAAGGCATCTATGTGAGCGAGCCTGGGTGTTGGATCATGCTGCAACATTGGGTTCATGATTGGTCTTTGTATGCCAGGGACTTCTTGACCAAACTTTGCTAATAACTGTGTTGCAAGTGTAAAAGCAAATGAACGGAAAACAGGTTTACGTCCAGTTTTCACCAGAGACAAATTATAGCAGTTCAACATGCTCATGTCAACAAGATGGAAAAACACTTTTTTCGTCCACTTCAATGTTTTCCACATACATTGACTTCAATGTTGACCAGGCAACAAAAATTAGGCAGGAAAGAGAAGTGTGGGCTGACTGCATTTTCCTGGACTGTCAAAAAGCCTTTGACACAGTACCCCATAAAAGGCTGTTAAAAAAAGTTGGAGCAACAGGCAGGAGTAAAAGGGAAGGTGCTCCAGTGGATAAGGGAGTACTTAAGGAACAGGAAACAGCGAGTAACGGTGAGGGGGGAGATATCAGAGAGGCGAGATGTCACCAGCGGAGTCCCACAGGGCTCAGTACTTGGACCCATCCTGTTTCTAATATATGTAAACAATCTTCCGGAGGGTATAGACTCATTCCTCTCAGTGTTTGCTGATGATGCAAAAATTATGAGAAGAATCAAGACGAATGAAGATAGACAGAGACTACAGGATGACCTGGATAAACTGGAGGAATGGTCTAGAAAATGGCTGCTAAAGTTCAACTCAGGAAGGTGTAAGGTGATGAAATTAGGCGAAGGGAGCAGGAGGCTGAACACAAGGTATCATCTGGGAGGTGAAATCCTGCAAGAGTCAAATAGAGAGAAAGATTTGGGGGTTGATATCACACTGAACCTGTTCCCTGACCCACATCAAAAGAATATCATCAGCAGCATATGCTAGACTGGCCAACGTAAGAACTGCCTTTAGAAACTTGTGTAAAGAATCTTTCAGAACCCTGTATACCACTTATGTAAGACCAATCCTGGAGTATGCAGCTCCAGCCTGGAGTCCATACCTAGTTAAACACAAGACAAAGCTAGAGAAGATTCGGCGGTATGCCACCAGGCTCGTCCCGGAACTGAGAGGAATGAGCTATGAGGAAAGGCTAAAAGAGCTGAACCTCACATCCCTGGAAAACAGAAGAGTAAGGGGAGACATAATAACCACCTACAAAATTCTCAGGGGAATTGCCAGGGTGGACAAAGACAAACTCTTCAGCACGGGTGGAACACGAACAAGGGGACACAGGTGCAAACTTAGTACCCAGATGAGCCACAGAGACGTTAGAAAGATTTTTTCAGTGTCAGAGTAATTAATAAATGGAATGCTTTAGGTAGTGATGTGGTGGAGGCTGACTCCATACATAGTTTCAAATGTATATATGATAGAGCCCAGTAGGCTCAGGAATCTGTACACCAGTTGATTGACAGTTGAGAGGCGGGACCAAAGAGCCAAAGCTCAACCCCCGCAAGCACAATTAGGTGAGTACAATTAGGTAAGTACACTCGATAGTGCTAATCATCATGTCAGCCTTATCAATCAAACGCATGTTGAGATTGTAGTCAAGAACACAATCTGGCTTATATACTGGTTCTCTCGTTACACGGTGCACCTTGCCACTGTTCAACATTGTACCCTCATGAACGGTTGTCAGCAGGTTCACTTCTCTCTTGTATTTCCACCGTACCGAGAGTATTTGTGGGTCTCACCCAGATAATGGCCTTTCATTACATTCAACGCTGTTTTTTTTTAATTGCATTAGGTCTTCTAATTGTTTTTCTTGATTAAGATATTAAATATTAATTATGCAAATCATTCCTGCCTGCTAACTTTGCCATGGTTTGTGTGTGAGTGTTTTTAAATACAGCATATGAACATACTGTGTGTTGCCTTGCAGGGGACTGGGAAGTGGTACGAGTTGCAGGATCTTCATGTGAAAGAGATTGAGCCTCAGATGTTAACTCTTACTGAATCATACATTCAGGTTTGTATTCTTATTTGTTAATGCTGTATAAATGCTTTATTAGACTATCGTTTCTGAAGAAGAAGAAAGTTTAGGGGTAGTTTTGTATAATAATTTATATATGATAATATAATTCATTGTGTTGGGGAACAGGAAACTAGATTATGCATACAGTACATGTTAGGCTAGTACCGAGGTCCTCCCCATGGTCAAATCACAGACTCAACCCAGGATACAACCCCACAACAAGCTGATTAACTCCTGGGTATCTATTTACTGCTAGGTGGAAAGAGGCATGAGGTGAAAGGAAACGTGCCCAACCATTTATGTGTCACCCGGGATTTGAACCATAAATTCTCGATTGTGAGTCGAGAACGAACCCAACTGTACTACCCCAACCCTCTTGTCTTAAGTCTTATGACTAAGACTTAGGTTACAATCAGTGTGTAATTTTTCTTTGTCCACACTATCCTATATATGCAAAGATCACTTCTGGGAGAGCACATTATGAATCTCGGTGGCATTTTTGCTTGACCTTTCATGGTAGGTCCTAAAGATAATGGAGTGGAACAGGAGATTTGTGTGCTTTTCATCATTTTAGGTCCAAGTTTCTTGAGCGTTGTGGTTGGCATGGGAGAGCCATCTACTCATTAACCCTTAACGCTTGGTAGCAAACACGTCATGATGCTTCTGCAAGGAATAACACTGGTTCTTGTGTTAAGTAGGATTATCATTCTTAGAGACTTTGTTGTCCTCCAGAGGGAAGGGGGCATGCTTAGTACAATATGTATTTCTGGACAGTGTCCAAGTCGGCTCCTGGTTGCCAGTTGCTTGGATAGCTTGACACCTATCAAGTCACACTAAGCCCATACTAGTCTTTGAGAACCTATCAGAGACCAGAGGCCAAAACCTGGTCTTCTCAAAGAGGTGCAGAGCAGAGTATACTACATCACTAACAAAGGAAATAGTCACCAGAAATGTAAAAAACACAAAACTGACATCAAAGCAAAAGTAAAGAAAACAGAAAATGACCTCACCAGTAGATAAATAGTTCCACAAGCAGTTCCTCCTCCCCAACACCAGAGCAGATAAATAGTTCCACAAGCAGTTTCTCCTCCCCACTACCAGGTGGGGAGGAGGAACTCCCCCACCAGTTCAGCTAGTGGGGGAGTTTAATACACAAAGAATTTGTGTATGGAACTCCCCACCAGCTGAACTGGTGGGGGGGGGGGGTTAATGTCCCTTAGTGTAGCTGGTGTAGCCCCTGCCCATTCCTGGTTACCTTCCTTGGTGAGTTCAGGAGGCTGTCCCTCAAAGTTTCGACTTACTGTGGAGAGTGCCTCGCCCCGAGTAGTGCTCAGGTATTGACTCCTCTGTGATGCTTTAAAGTTAGGGGCAGTCAGGGTCTTCTTTGGAAGTTATGGGTTCCTGTGTTTATGTAATTACGATGCACCACTTAAACCCTTCCTAGTGGCCTGTGTCTCTTAGGCTAGGCTTGGTGTTTGTTATTGTGGAGCTACCCTGATGCCTGGTGTCCATGTTTTGTTTTTCCTTCAGGGCCTGGCTAGCCTCGTGTGGATTCTGGTGTGTTTGGCACGGATGTGCCTACTGAGTCCGCTCTCTGGGTGTGAGTTTAAAGGATGTACAGTACCTCGGTTCTGTGACATGCCAACAGTCATCCTGTTTGCCTGTTGCCATGCTGCCTGTTTGGTGGATGACACTTTTCAGCCTGAGGCCTGTGACATGTCTTGTTGTTGAGTCTGTTTTAGCTGAGGCTCATCTGGGAATGGGGCATACAAGGTAGCAGCCATGTTACAGGATAGGTTTGCTCGTATGCCATGAATTTGGCCCCAATTTGTATTTGTGATTCAAATTTGGAGTGATTGGTTTCCCTCCATACCTTTCCCCTGTCCCTGTGGTACATTCTCAACATCCTGAGTCTGAGAAACTTCATTACCTGTTTTAACTTCTGCATGACCATTTTTGCTCAGGTCTACATGGTATTTCTTCCTCACAATACATGCAGTTTGCATGAAGGTGGTTCTTCCTGATGACTGCATGAATAATAATGTAGAAAGATGCAGCACACACAGCGGTGCATCAATGGTCAAGATATGGCAGAGGCGGAAAGATATCGACGTCCTCTATGTGGACGAGGATAAAGACAATAAACAGATGAGGGGAAAGGAACTCAGGATGGGAAAGATGAGGAGTCACATGAAAGGTGAAAGCAAAGCGTCGCTGAACTATAGAAAGTGTGGGACGGAGGTGGGGAGACGAAGAATATTTGGGAGGTAATCACTAATCAGATATGAGAAAGGAAGGGAAGTGCAAACACACGAAGGAACACGGGATGAACGTGTAGGGTAGGGTAGTCGGGTTGGGACAAGGTAAGATGTTAGCCGGAATCCGGAGCTTTACATCTGGGACGCAATCGCATCAGTCTTCTTAGACACACCAGTTGGAGAGTGCTAGGAAGACTTGGGAGTGGGGTGAGGATGTGTTGCGGGAGTGCAAAATGAATTTGGTTTGTCGGGCAAAGTGGCAGGGCACTTGGAAGTAGGGACAGCTGAGGACTGCTTCCTCTTAGTGCCGGGTGTTGGGGTTTGCAGCAAGTCAGCCTGGGGAGTGATTGGGAGAAAGCGCACCAAGGTGTTATGGAAGGTGATTTCCAGCATCAGTTCAAACGTATCGGAGACAGCAAAGGTAGCCGCGGGAGTGCGGATGTCAAGTATAGTAGATGCGGAGGAGTGCGTTGGGTCGGCTCAGGAATGGGTTGGACGGATTGTGGAAAGAATTTAGTCAGGAGGCGGTCCAGCGTTTTCTCGAGTGCATCTGCAGTGTAAGTGACAAATGTGTGTACAAGATCGAGACTCGGTTATATGGTTTGTGGGAGAGAATGAGACTCGGGCCACCGGAATGTCAGTGACAGACAGATCAGGTACAAGCAAAGGGGGCGGCGGAGCGTAATGTAGAGGTTGATGACAAACAAAGTTAGGTTGGTTCAGAGCACGACTGTATTGCAGGTTGATGGGGCGGGGAGAGCCTGAGTTTGTGGCACTACATACAAAGGACACTGTCGGAATATAATGTCATGAGCACCACCACAGTTCAAGCAGCAAAGTATATGTGACACACAGACACGAGTGTAATGGGAACCAGAGCATTTCCCACATTTGATGTCTTTGGTGCAGCCTTTCGAGGTATGGTGAAAACCCTTACAATCAAAAGCACTGAGTGTGATGGGGAATGTGCACCTCTAGTTTATGGAGGAAGTCATCAATCCAAACCTGATAAGGGGAACAAGTAATCTAGAAAAGTAAGTAGGGCAGTACCAGTATCACACAGTTCTCTATTTGTCCTACACATAAATTTCCTGACATGACATGACAAACCACATATCCCGCCAACTGTGATCACCCAGAGGTTTGTAGCATCTGACCTTGTAACCACAGATTTCAGTAACATCCGAAAGTGCCAGGTCCTCACTGTGAGTGTGGTCCACTGCAACTAAGTTCCGTCGTTCATTTGGTCTGATATCGTGCACCTTGATCTTAAAGAACTTGGGAATGGCATGATAGAGGAGACTTTGTGCCCTGCTATTTCCAAAAACACTCCTATCAATGGATGTATCGCCAGCAAAGGCAGTGATGAACGTTTGTAAACGAAGAAAACTCGCCCTACTTTGAGTGAGCGAAGGATGTTAACACTGAGTTCACGTTCACACAGTTCACGAGTTCTGGCATGCCTCATACCTGCTTGATGCTGCCTTAGTCTTTCTCTGGGCTATGCAATCTGGCTCAACTTCAACTGCTCTGCAGGGATTCATTGTCTGAATTGAAGGGAAGGGGGGCCTTTGGTCCCTTCCTTTGTGGAGCTGTACTGTCTTGTGAACACTGTACTGTCACTTGTGTTGTCCTATCTTGAGTACTGCTCAGTACTCACTTCCCCCTTCAGAGCAGGAGAGATTGCTGAAATAGAGGGAATACAGAGAACATATACGGCACGCATAGATGAGATAAAGCACCTAAATTATTGGGATTGTCTCAAAGCTCTCTAAATGTACTCACTAGAAAGGAGACGAGAGAGATACCAAATAATATACACATGGAAAAAACTGGAGGGACAGGTCCCAAATCTGCACAGTAAAATAACAATGTACTGGAGTGAACGACATGGAAGAAAATGCAGAATAGAACCGGTGAAGAGCAGAGGTGCAATGGGCACAATCAGAGAACACTGTATGAACATCAGAGGTCCACGGTTGTTCAACGTCCTACCAGCGAGCATCAGAAATATTGCAGGAACAACCGTGGACATCTTCAAGAGGAAACTAGATTGTTTTCTTCAAGGAGTGCCGGACCAACCTGGCTGTGATGGGTGTGTGGGCCTGCGGGCCGCTCCAAGCAACAGCCTGGTGGACCAAACCCTCACAAGTCAAGTCTGGCCTCGGGCCGGGCTTGGGGAGTAGAAGAACTCCCAGAACCCCATCAAGCAGGTATCAAGCGAGCAAGAATACACACACACATTTCAGTCCCATTGCCACACAGTAGACCGTCCTATCGGTGGCTTTATAAAATGTTCAGGTGCCATGAGGTGAATAGTTTCTCATTGGTGTGGAACCAGACATCTGGTTTACATGGCCCCATTCCCCAATGGCAAGGCCTTTACAGTGAATGTCTTTCGGCTATATTTTAGTCATTAGAAGTTTCTCTGTCTCTTTCCTCTGATTCAGCTATTGCTCCAGGTGGTTTCCAGACTGCAGAAGTTTGCCAGGTGTGTGTTCCTTCTCGCTCCTTACTGTATAGCTCAGCCTTGGTTTCTAGTTCTTCTGGCCTGGTTTCCAAACCCACACATTTCTGGAGGGAACCTCTTGTGGCTCCCTGAAGCTATTATCTCTGATAGTACCAAACTACAGTACTAGGTTATCTTGAGGTTATCTTGAGATGATTTCGGGGCTTAGCATCCCCGCGCCCCGGTCCTCGACCAGGCCTCCTTTTTTGTTACACACCCCCAAAAGCAGCCCGTAGCAGCTGTCCAACTTCTTGGTACCTATTTACTGCTAGATGAACAGGTGCATCAGGTTGAAAAAACTGCCCATTTGTTTCTGCCACCATCAGGGATCGAACCCGGAACCTTAGGACTATGAATCCCTAGCCCTGTCCACTCAGCTGTCAGGGCCCCCTGCTATCAGTCCCCAAGCTAGGTGCTATCATTTGCAAAGTTCTATTGGCCGGGGACCACGAGCCAGTACCTGGTCCTCCTCAAAGAGGAACAGGAAGCGGTGTCACATGTGGTAAAATTTCTATGAATTTATTCATGTCTGCCACCCACTGAGGAAGGCACCCAGAAAGTCAGTGAAACAAAACAAACAACTGTTGGCTTTAACGAGACCACAACCTCGAGAACTGCCAAAAGAACTCCCCCAACAATGTAAACAAACATTCAACAATTTATGATGTTGAGGAGGCAGCCAGAGATCAGCTGGCTACTCCACATTCATTTCTCCTCTGTTGGTAGTGAGTGCCTGGTTGCCTTCTGTTACTCTGGCTCTAGTTTTCAGCCAAGCCTTTTTTTGGTCTTTAAGGCTGTTCCTGTGCAATTTGGTGCATTGTGAGCTAGGAGTTAAGGACACTTGGAGCTGTATGTGCTTAGGGTTCTCTTCCTGAGTGCTCCTCTAGTGCTGCGCTTGCATTGCCAGGGTTATCTTCCCTTGAGTGTTCAGGGATTACTCCCTTCGAGGCCCTCCTTGCTTGTGGTGGCTTTTGCCCTAGGTGAGTCTGGTTTCTTTGACTTTGTCTTTCCTTGGGGTCAGGAATGATTTTGGTTGGCAGGGCACTGTTGTTCATGCAACTTTCCCGGCACACCATGGTTGGTCTTTACAACCTCATAATTGGCTGTGTTGGCCTATTGGTCTCTCTTATTTTGGATAGCCTATACAATTATATAGACCTAGCATAGCATTCCAGGTGCATGGGCTTCCTGTAAGGTTATATCCTCTACAGATCCTGGAAAACCCCAGTGGGTTCAATGGTCCCATGAAAATCCCCACCGAACCTGCTCTTGCTTCGTGTGAATTTGAGGATTGCAAGTCTTCAGTGCCACGTGGCAACGTTCATTCCTAATGATTCTGCCATGCTCTCTACTGAGGTTGGCAGCACCTTTAACCCTGACTCACGTAGGATTTGCTCCCATCATGTTACACTCCTTCTGACCCTCCTGAACTCTCCCTTGGACTCATTATCCTGAGTGGTGGGAGCAGAATTGGGCTCCACCTCAGGACCCTCATCTGTTACTTACAGGGCTTGGGGATGTGTAGGTTGGAGGATCTTGGGCCCAGTTCTGCTCTACATGGTTCTTTTGTTGCTAAGGAGGGGGGGGGGGGTGTTTGTACCCACTTCTTGCATGCATTTGCTTGGGCTGCATCATCACATTAATGAGTTTGTCACTACTTTCTTGCAAGAATATTTAGAAGTAGGAACATTTGTAAATAGCTATCACTGTACTTGCAGGTTAGTGGAGTTTTGCCTTATTCCAATCAGAAGTTGAGTTTAATTTGGTAAAGGGGCATAATAGTGTACCCACTATGACTGTTATATCGTAACATGTGTTGTAGACTCTTCATTACCTCATGTACCATATGAGATGTTCGTATTATGTTCAGCGTTCTTGGTTTTCTCAGCATTAGAATTGTTGGATTTCCTGCTTTTTCCTCACACTATTTAATTTTAGTCTGCTTCTAGGACTGAGAAAGTGACATCAAGCTTCCTGTCCTCTGCTCCATATTTTTGTGATGTGGGCTTCATGGCAAACAGGGTTCTTGAAGCAGTGAGCAGACTGTCCAGTATCACAGACTGGTGAAGTTAAGAATTATATATACAGTATAAAAGTCTCATAATGGCATAGGTAGAATAGTCTAGTAGGCTTTACTGGTGTAGCCATCTGCTTGGAAAGCAAGACATGGGACAGATGTCAGAGTTTGATAAAAATAAGTACTATTTTGTTATTATATTACTATTAAGTAATGTTTTCAGTGTTTATCCTAGCAGAATTGACAGTTGCCTTGTATAATGATATACTATATAATATTTCTTTTGCAGATATATGAAATGCAGAACTGTATAGTAAGATCTCATGATATCAAGAAGGTTACCTGAAACTTTCAAGAGAATATAAATGACAAAATTAGGACCTGCACTGATGTGTAGCTGCTGATTGAAACAAAATGCTGCGCCTGTGTTGTGCAACTGTAGAAAATAGAAGTTGATTTAAAATATAGCCTTTATTTTAAAATGAAAATGCTGTTGAACTTTGTATTAATTTGCGAGAGGTGACTGGCATCTCTACAGATACAGGTACTGTAACTCCCATGTAAGGAGAGTTATTAAATGTTAGTTTGTGCTATAACACGGCTAAAGATGACTCCTTTAAGTGAAATGTCTTTCACGTTAATGTTTATAATAATTAAAGGGGTTTTTACATATTGTGTTTTATTGAAAATTTTGAATTTAACAATAAAGAAGCATTTTGTGAATGCTTAATAAATACTTGAATTGTTAATAAGAACAGTTAAACACTAAATTAATTGGTAACAAAAGTGTAAATATTTCAAGATAAGTACAAGTACCACCTAGTTTGCCAATATTTAATACTGTCCACTTACAGTATATATTTCTTCAAAAGGTTAGTGTCATAAGAAGCTTTGGCCCAGCATCTTATGACATAGAGTAAGGAGCAATTCATAAATTTTCTCATACTGTAATTTCATTCCTAAATCTGTTATGTTTTTGAACATAACAGATGCAATCTGCTAGTCTTGAACAACAATTCGTAAAAATTTAGGGGGAAGAACGGATGAATTCCTGAGATTTCTTTCCTATACATATTAAAAAACTTGAATATTATGCACTGATACAAACACAACTCGCCAAACATTTGCAGTTTGGAATTGTTGCAATACAGTGCATTTTGCAATTGTTGCTGTACAGTGCAGTTTGCAATTGTTGCTGTACAGTGCAGTTTGCAATTGTTGCTGTACAGTGCAGTTTGCAATTGTTGCTGTACAGTGCAGTTTGCAATTGTTGCTGTACAGTGTAGTTTGCAATTGTTGCAATACAGTGCAGTTTGCAATTGTTGCTGTACAGTGCAGTTTGCAATTGTTGCTGTACAGTGCAGTTTGCAATTGTTGCTGTACAGTGCAGTTTGCAATTGTTGCTGTACAGTGCAGTTTGCAATTGTTGCTGTACAGTGCAGTTTGCAATTGTTGCTGTACAGTGCAATTTGCAATTGTTGCTATACAGTGCAGTTTGCAATTGTTGCTTACCTTTAAAGAACACAATAAAGTAGCCGTCACAACTGCAAGAAAAAATGACAGGTTGGATAACAAGAACTTTTCACACTAGAGATGCTATACCGACGATGATACTTTTCAAAACGCTTGTGCTCTCTAGAGTGGAATACTGCTGCACAATGACAGCCCCTTTCAAAGCTGGAGAAATTGCTGACCTGGAGAGCATGCAGAGATCCTTTACTGCTAGAATCCACTCAGTAAAACATCTAAATTACTGGTACCAACTAAAGAGCCTAACTCTGTACTCCCTTGAGCGCAGGTGGGAGAGATACATAATAATTTACACGTGGAAAATAATTGAGGGGCTGGTCCCAAACCTGCACACAGATATAACATCACATCACATGAGACCAGAAGACATGGCAGGATGTGCAGAATACCCCCCGTTGAAAAGCAGAGGTGCAACAGGTACTCTGAGAGAGAACTCTATCAACAGCAGAGGCCCGAGACTGTTCAACACGCTTACACTACACATAAGGGGCATAACTAGCCAACCCCTCACAGTGTTCAAGAGAGAACTGGATAAGCAACTCCAAAGGATACCTGATCAACCAGGCTGTGACTCATACGTCAGGCTGCGAGCAGCCGCGTCCAACAGCCTGGTTGATCAGTCCAGCAACCAGGAGGCCTGGTCGACGACCGGGCCGCGGGGACGCTAAGCCCCGGAAGCACCTCAAGGTAACCTCAAGGTAGGTAAGGTTCAGTGCAGTTTGCAATTGTTGTTGTATAGTGCAGCTTGCAATAGTTGTAGTACAGTGCAGTTTGCAATGGTTGTTGTACAGTGCAGTTTGCAATGGTTGTTGTACAGTGCAGTTTGCAATGGTTGTTGTACAGTGCAGTTTGCAATGGTTGCAGTACAGTGCAGTTTGCAATGGTTGCAGTACAGTGCAGTTTGCAATGGTTGCAGTACAGTGCAGTTTGCAATGGTTGCAGTACAGTGCAGTTTGCAATGGTTGTTGTACAGTGCAGTTTGCAATGGTTGCAGTACAGTGCAGTTTGCAATGGTTGCAGTACAGTGCAGTTTGCAATGGTTGCAGTACAGTGCAGTTTGCAATGGTTGCAGTACAGTGCAGTTTGCAATGGTTGCAGTACAGTGCAGTTTGCAATGGTTGCACTACAGTGCAATTTGCAATGGTTGCGGTACAGGGCATTTTGCAATGGTTGCCGTACAGTGCAGTTTGCAATTGTTCAGTGTAGTATGCAATTGCCGTAGTACAGTGCAGTTTGCAGTTGTTGGAGTGCAACAATTGCAGTGTGTATTTATACATGCTAAAACATTTAACAATAAAGTTTACTTTGCTTTGGGTAATTGGTACTAAAGTGGAGACTTTACTATTTCAGTATTACCACCGGGTGGTATACAACTCGAAAACAGGAGTGGGCTGACAAATGACTCGGTTCCCCATGGTTAGGGATGGCAAACCTGCCAGGCTTCTTAAGACCCACCCTAGATGAATGACTCACCTTTCTCAAGATATCACCCATAATAGTTGCATAACTCCTAAGTACCTATTTACTTCGGGAACAACAGAAGTAACCAGTGTAAAAAAATGTACTCAAATGTATCTTCCTATATGGGCAGTGAACCCTGCGGTCATTTAGTTGAGAGGCAATTGCACTGACCACTGTGCTACACAACTCCACTGACCACTGTGCTACATGACTCGCTGATCACTGTGCTACACGACTCCACTGACCACTGTGCTACACGACTCCACTGACCATTGTGCTACATGACTCGCTGATCACTGTGCTACAGACTCCACTGACCACTGTGCTACACGACTCCACTGACCACTGTGCTACACGACTCCACTGACCACTGTGCTACACGACTCCACTGACCACTGTGCTACATGACTCACTGACCATTGTGCTACATGACTCGCTGATCACTGTGCTACAGACTCCACTGACCACTGTGCTACACGACTCCACTGACTACTGTGCTACACGACTCCACTGACCACTGTGCTACACGACTCCACTGACCACTGTGCTACATGACTCACTGACCATTGTGCTACATGACTCGCTGATCACTGTGCTACAGACTCCACTGACCACTGTGCTACATGACTCACTGACCACTGTGCTACATGACTCACTGACCACTGTGCTACATGACTCACTGACCACTGTGCTACATGACTCACTGACCACTGTGCTACATGACTCACTGACCATTGTGCTACATGACTCCACTGACCACTGTGCTACACGACTCCACTGACCATTGTGCTACATGACTCGCTGATCACTGTGCTACAGACTCCACTGACCACTGTGCTACACGACTCCACTGACCACTGTGCTACATGACTCACTGACCACTGTGCTACATGACTCACTGACCACTGTGCTACACGACTCCACTCACCACTGTGCTACACGACTCCACTGACCACTGTGCTACATTTCTCCCTGACCACTGTGCTACACGACTCCACTGACCACTGTGCTACATGACTCACTGACCACTGTGCTACATGACTCACTGACCACTGTGCTACATGACTCACTGACCACTGTGCTACATGACTCACTGACCACTGTGCTACATGACTCACTGACCACTGTGCTACATGACTCACTGACCACTGTGCTACATGACTCACTGACCACTGTGCTACACGACTCCACTCACCACTGTGCTACACGACTCCACTCACCACTGTGCTACATGACTCACTGACCACTGTGCTACACGACTCCACTCACCACTGTGTTACACAACTCCACTGACCACTGTGTTACAAGACTCCACTCACCACTGTGCTACACGACTCCACTCACCACTGTGCTACACAACTCCACTGACCACTGTGTTACAAGACTCCACTCACCACTGTGCTACACGACTCCACTCACCACTGTGCTACACGACTCCACTCACCACTGTGCTACACGACTCCACTCACCACTGTGCTACACGACTCCACTCACCACTGTGCTACACGACTCCACTCACCACTGTGTTACAAGACTCCACTGACCACTGTGCTACACTACTCCACTGACCACTGTGCTTCACGACTCCACTGATCACTGTGCTACACGACTCCACTGATCACTGTGCTACACGACTCCACTGACCACTGTGCTACACTACTCCACTGACCACTGTGCTTCACGACTCCACTGATCACTGTGCTACACGACTCCACTCACCACTGTGTTACAAGACTCCACTCACCACTGTGCTACACGACTCCACTCACCACTGTGCTACACGACTCCACTCACCACTGTGCTACAAGACTCCACTCACCACTGTGCTACATGACTCCACTCACCACTGTGTTACAAGACTCCACTCACCACTGTGCTACACAACTCCACTCACCACTGTGTTACAAGACTCCACTCACCACTGTGCTACACGACTCCACTCACCACTGTGCTACAAGACTCCACTCACCACTGTGCTACAAGACTCCACTCACCACTGTGTTACAAGACTCCACTCACCACTGTGCTACAAGACTCCACTCACCACTGTGTTACAAGACTCCACTCACCACTGTGTTACAAGACTCCACTCACCACTGTGTTACAAGACTCCACTCACCACTGTGCTACATGACTCCACTCACCACTGTGCTACATGACTCCACTCACCACTGTGCTACAAGACTCCACTCACCACTGTGCTACATGACTCCACTCACCACTGTGCTACAAGACTCCACTCACCACTGTGTTACAAGACTCCACTCACCACTGTGCTACAAGACTCCACTCACCACTGTGCTACATGACTCCACTCACCACTGTGCTACACTACTCCACTGACCACTGTGCTTCACGACTCCACTGATCACTGTGCTACACGACTCCACTGACCACTGTGCTACACTACTCCACTGACCACTGTGCTACACGACTCCACTGACCACTGTGCTACACTACTCCACTGACCACTGTGCTACACGACTCCACTGACCACTGTGCTACACTACTCCACTGACCACTGTGCTTCACGACTCCACTGATCACTGTGCTACACGACTCCACTGACCACTGTGCTTCACGACTCCACTGTGACCACTGTGCTACACGACTTCATGACAATGCTCCAAATGCCAATAATGGCTGCTAAAAATAAATTTTCAGACTAGAATGATATAT